TTAAAGGTGCATTAAAGTTAAACCCAAAGTGCTTATAAATTTGTGTTGTATATTCTTCAACTTAGCAGTTAAAAGCACAAAATAACCCTTTTGAGTTTTAACAGGAGTATCAAACAATGGAGATGAAGAAGGAAGTTACCATAACAAGGTCTCAAAACAAAGCGAGGCTTGCCATTTTGGAAATAGCACACATGATGAGTGTTCCAATGTCTCTCGTTGCTGTCATCAATATGAAGGTACCCGACACCATATGGCAAGCTGGTTCCAACACTCCCCTCTCCGCTTCACAAATTCTTTCTCACATTCGTCCCCACGGTGGTGGCGACGCCGAGAACCTCCAGCGCATCCTCCGCTTGCTCACCAGTTATGACATTTTTGCCGAGCACTTGAGCAGCACTGGCGAAAGAAAATACTTCCTCACCGACGTCGGCAAAACTTTAGTTGCCAGTGACGAAGGTCTATCCTACGCGCCCTACGTGCTCCAACACCATCAGGTTAATTTTTGTGTGTGTGTGTGTGTTTTTTTTTTTTTTACCATAAATTTTCAAGTTTGTTAAATACAAAATAATAATGAAAATATAATATGATTACGATGATATGTAAATAAATATAGTATTAATATAATGATATTCATCTCTCACATTAATTACATTCATATAAAAAAATGTGTGCCTCTTTTTTTAAAAAAAATTGGTGGCTCACTTTATTTGTCTCGCAACATAAAGATAATTTTATCTTCTATGAGATAAATATAAAGCGTTTATATATTGTTTTTGTCGCTCTAAACAAAGCGTTTCACTTTTATTTTTAATAAAAAATGGTTATTACATGTGAAATGAGATGAGTGATTAATTTATAGAAAAAAACAGAGAAAAACCACTCCCATAAAATTCCGATTCACGAGGATAGAGCTTGAGTAAGGAATAATATCATTAAGAAGGATGATTTGGTGATGAGGATTTGTTTATGGGTTTTATAAGAGTTATGTTGTAGGAAAAGTGATTGTGTAATGTTATAGAGATTCGTTTTGCGTGCCGTAATTTCTTTTTTTTTCTTTTTCCTTCAAAAAGTATGGACCCCACAAAATGTTGTGTGTATAAGAAAGTTTGTTGTGTATGTTAAATGACAAATGCATACCCCTTTATTTATTGTCATCACTAGACTCACATACTTCTCTCCATTGATACTTCCTTATATTATATGATTCTCAAGTGGGGAATGTTCGTGTTTTTGAGATGTGCATATATAGGATGCGTTGATGCGAGCTTGGCCGTTGGTGGGGGAGGCAGTGGAGGATCCAACGGTGGAGCCATTCGAGAAGGCGAACGGAGAATCAGCAATAGCACATTACATGAAGCAGCCAGATATAATGGATTTGATATATAAGTCCTTATCTGGGATGTCCGTACCCTTCATGAGGGAAATGTTGGAGCTCTACGATGGCTTCCAAGGGGTGAAGACACTAGTTGACGTTGGTGGCAATTCTGGTGTGAGTCTCCGCATGATAATGGAGAAATACCCAAATATACTTAAGGGCATCAACTATGATCTTCCCGATATGGTGGCTCTTGCACCACAGTTTCCAGGTTTGAGCCACTTCCATTTTGGAATGTGTGGGTTTTGATTTGTTGTTCTTATCATAACATTAACCTAGCTACAATTGTCTTGTGGCTTATATATATAAATTGTAGGTATAACTCATATCGGTGGTGACGCGTTTGAATCTGTTCCTGCTGGGGATGCTATCTTCATGAAGGTAATATTCAAGAAAACATTGAAAAACTATATTCCAAAAAAATAAATAATTGCAAAGTTGGTGTTACAAGTAATGAGTAACGTTATTCAACATATTTTCCCTATTATCTCTTAAAAAAAAAAAGACATATATGCAACTTTTTATAAACGGAATCATTAAATTGACAACTTTAAGAACCGATAAATTATATATTTGGAAAAGTATTAACTACACGTCGCTTTTGGCTTCACATATGTCATACCTGTTGATGTGGCATCCACTACTAGAAAAAATCTGTATAGCGACGGAATTGTTATAGAAATTCCGTCGCTAATTTCATCGTCACTACTACTTATATAATTCAAAAAAAAAATTTAACTTAAAAGCACAAAAAACCTTTTTCTCTTTCTTTCTCTCTCTCTATATATATATATATATATATATGACTCTTTATTAAAAAAAAACATACAATTCAAAAAAACTGATAAGAACTTAAAAAAAAGCTTCTCGTAAGAGTATTTGTCAGGCAGGCTCAGGGGAAGCCCATGGCACGGGACCACCATCAATAAGCTAAGGCTAGCCCACCATATCAAGTGGATTCGACACCTTGTCTCAACCCAAAACCTTAAGGTATTGGGTTCATGGGTCCTCTTGCTTATATATACTCCACTTATATTGGGTTCAAGTGTAAAACTCAACATTGATATGCTCCCCCTCAATCGAGAGCCAAAGCCCAAAATACTCAACTCGTCTCCTTGCCAATCACTAGGCTAGCTTGAGTCCAACTCGGCTCTGATACCAAAGTCGACGGGTCCAGGGGGACCCTTTGGCGGGGAACCAATGGGCTAAAAGTTAGCACAATGCTAGCTAGTGTATTCGACATTATGTCTCAACCCAAAACCTTAAAACATTAGGTTCATGAATCCATTCACTTATATTCACTCTACTTAACCATTTACCAATTAATATGGGACTCATCACACATGAATATCCCAACACTTTTGGTTTTTGACTCTTTTCTTCATTATAAAAAAAAGAGTCTTTCATTATAATAGTTTTTCTTAAAACTTGTTTGACCTAACTTCTGCTTATAAGGAGAAAAATAACTAAAAGTAAGAGGATACAAACTGGCATGTAATAATTTTAAATTCTAATTTACTATCCTGTGTTATAAAGATACAAGTCAACGAAACTTATAAAAATAAGATTCACTTGAGTTATATTATTTTAATTTTGACGTATACACAATTAAAATCACAGAAGTTCCAAATCAAATTTAATTCTAATTTTATAACATTTTAAAAATAATTAATTTCCAATTTTTGAGTGTCGATGTTCCAATACGATCTTTTGTACTAAATAATCTAGTTAAACTTTCTCTCATCAAACTTGACTTGAGAAATTTTAAAACATCAATACATGAAATGATACATCTATTCTTTTCCCTCTTGATTGAATTTGCAGTGGGTATTTATAGCATGGACGGATGAAGAATGCAAGCAGGTCTTGGAAAATTGTTATAAGGCACTTCCGGTGAACGGAAAATTGATTGCTTGCGAGCCGGTGGTGCCAGAGCTGACCGATGAGAGTCAAAGAACAAGAGCATTGCTTGGAGGTGACATATTTATCATGACAATGTATAAAACTAAGGGGAAGCATAGGACTGAACAACAATTTAAACATCTTGCCACTTCTGCTGGTTTTCCTCACTTCCGTGCCTTCTATGTTGATCCTTATTTGGCTGTACTTGAGTTTCAGAAATAAGAAGTAGGCTTTCAAGTGTGATGTTAATTAAGCCTACTGAAATCATGAATAGGGGAAACATAATTAGGAACAGTACTGAGACACATATTGTGATTGTTCCTCATGAATAAGTCTTCCTCATTATTAAATTTGAAATTGGGTTCCTCCCTTATCTTATGCTTTTAAATTGTAAAGTGTGCTACTCACTTTAAGTAAAGAAAATTAAAAAAAAAAAATTTCAGTTAGTATATATTTTCATTAATGATTACACAATTTTCATATTATTTTCTATTTTTTAAGGATTTGCAAATGTAATATTGAGAACAACAATTTTTTTGTGTCCCCATTTCTCTCACAAATCTTATAAACAAGAAACGATGTGAAAATAAAGTAACATTTTTGTGATTCTAAATAATAAAAAATATCAATTGAAAATAAAAAAACAACTTTAATATTTAAAAATATTTTACACTTACAATTTAATCCATTAATTTATTTTTATTCAAAATATAGTCTTTAAAATTTTAAATCAATTACTAGTTAAGAGTCCGTTGAATCTGTTTCGGGAGGGCTAACTGACATAACAGTACCTTAAGTGCTCATGTATCCATATTGTTAAATGTCCACTAATCACCTTGACGCCAAAAGCACCATACTAAGAATTTCTGTGAATTTTTTTTCAACCAAAAGCATATTTTTGTCGAATTAATACAGTTAAACACGTAAAAAGGAATGATGAAATCAGTCTCGTCATATATTGTTACACTCAGTCTCGTCAGAAACATCGACGACACTCTTACTCCACGTCAGCCAATATCGTCACACACACTATCGGAACTAGTGAAATAAAATAAAATGAATCCCGTCAAAGTAATTGACGGTATCTAATTGCATGGATTTAAATAATATGGTGTTGGGTTTAACTTGCTTTCTACATTGATAGGCACATTTTTATTACACCTATTTAATTACATAAGAACTTTTCTTTGTAACCAGTTTGTTATTTTGTTAAGCTTAGCTGTCATTGTTAATAACCAGATTAGTTACATGTCACTTTCATTAGTTAGAATAGATTACGTGTCCTTTCTCTTTTCCTTCGTAATATATATACACTGATGTACAGAGTTTCATGTGTTGTTGAATCATATAGTTTCTTTTAGTTTTATGAAATTCTCTCGATTCTTCCAATCTGTTATGGTATCAGAGCTTCTTTTGGAGCTCTGATATTCGCCATTTTCCTTTTGCTTCTTTACTCCTTTTAGTTTTCTCTTTGAGATTCCTTTCGATCTTTCTGATTGTTGAAGATAAACTGTGATGGCGAATCAGAGCTCACCTAAGGTTGATGTTCAACCTGTTGATGAAGAACATGTTTCACACACCACGCATGCAGTTGCAAGCATCAGAAAATTTTTCAAATCCAGGTAGTGCTTATTATCTGCATCCGAACAAAAATCCGTCTCTTGTATTGGTATCCACTCTCATGAATGGCAGAAACTACCATGGATGGGCTAGAGCCATGACCATGGCCTTAATCTCCAAGAACAAGCTTCAATTTGTTAACGGTTCCATCTCTATTCCAGATCCGACAGAGCGAAGGTACGCTGCTTGGGAGAGATGCAATACCATGGTTCTTACATGGTTGCATCGATCCATTGCTGATTCTATTTCACAATCGATCCTATGGATGGATCGAGCATTTGATGTGTGGAGAGACCTTAAAGAAAGGTTCTCTCAATCAGACATATTTCGTATTTCTGACTTGCATGATGAGATCTTTCGTTTGCATCAAGGAGCAAATTCTGTCTCCGATTTCTATACACAACTCAAGATCCTTTGGGATGAGTTGGAGTCTTTACAGCCAACACCTACTTGTAAGTGTGTTAAGCCTTGTTGTTCAATCTCTTCTGAAGTGAGAAACATCAGAGATAGAGACTATTCTATTAGATTCCTAAAGGGACTTAATGAACAATTTTCCCATGTAAAGTCACAAATCATGTTAATGGATCCTTTGCCCCCTATAAACCGTGTATTTTCTTTAATCACTGAGCAAGAAAGACAGATGAATTTGGCTAATGTAATACCTAGTATTCCAGATGGAAATTCAAAGGCATTTTTCCATTCAACTGAACAGCAGTCAAGACGTGGCTACACTCCTGAACAACAATCAGGACGTGCTTATACTCCTGACCAACAATCTGGACGTGGCTACACTCGTGGGGAATTCTCCACTAGGGGAAGAGGACGTGGCTACAGTGGAGGCCGTGGTTACAATGGAGGTCGTGGCAGATCTTTTGTTCCAAGGTTGTGTACTTATTGTGGCAAGACCAGCCACACTATTGATACATGCTTTGAGAATCATGGGTATCCCCCTGGATACAGAGTCAAGGGATTTCACAAGGCAAATGTTGCCAGCACTGATAATATTGAAGAAGTGCATCCATATGTTGATCATAATCAAGTGGCTTCTCTTCAAGGTAAGAAAGAGAATTTTACTCAGGACCAATAGAATGCAATCTTGGAAATGATTCAGCAATCTTTTAAGCCACCACCTATGCAACAGCAGCAAATGCCATCCTCGCATGTCAGTAATATTGTACAAACCAAGGCACTCAATGTTGGGACCAAGGCTGATACAGTTGATTCTGCAAACTCAGGCTCATCTTCAGGTAACCATAATATGGTTCAGTGGATCTTAGACATAGGAGCCACTGACCATATTACTTACTCATTCGGTACTTTAATTCAACCAAAGAGGATTGAGCCAATAGCTATCTCATTACCTAATGAAAGTCAGGTTTACTCTTACTACTCAGGGACTGTTTTGCTTTCTCAGACACTCACTTTGTCGAATGTGCTATTTGTTGAAGGCTTTAGTGTTAATCTGATTTCAGTAACCAAGTTAGCCCAAGACACTAATTGTTCTGTAACTTTTCAGCCCCTTATCTGCACCATTTAGCAGTATCCTTCAATGGAGATGATTGGTTCAGCTAGGCTAGATGGTGGATTATACATCCTTACTCAAGCCAATGATCAGAAGACAGTGAAAATACAAGATAAAAGCTTTACCAATACAGTTACTATTCAACCTTGTTTAGTTGATTTGTGGCACTTAAGACTAGGCCATTGTTCATCTTCTGTAATAAAGTCAATGATGACTCAATTTCCCTTTCTTTCATGTAAAAGTGTTGACAATCTATGTGATACATGTCACTATGCTAAACACAAGAAGTTACCCTTTAATTCAAGTGTTACTGTTTCTGGTAAGGCTTTTGAGTTAGTCCATGCTGATATTTGGGGGCCCTATTCTACTTCTTCAATTCATGGTCACAGATACATGTTGACAATTGTTGATGATCATACACGTTTTACATGGGGCATCTTGATGAAATTAAAGTCAGAAACTAGAACTCATATCCAAAACTTTGTTACACTTATAGAAAACCAATTTGGTGTAACAGTTAAGACTTTTCGAAGTGATAATGGTTCTGAATTTTTAATGTCAGATTTGTTTGCTCAAAAAGGAATCTTGCACCAGACATCATGTGTGGAATCTCCACAACAAAATGGTGGTGTGGAGAGGAAGCACCAGCATATATTGAATACAGCTAGAGCACTTCTCTTTCAAGGTAATATTCCAAAGATATTATGGTGTTATTGTATCCAACATGCCATTCATATCATCAACAGGTTACATTCTCCAGTATTACATCACAAGTCTCCTTATGAATTGCTTTATCACAAGCCACCTGTTATAATTCATCTAAGGGCTTTTGGATGTCTTGCTTTTGCTTCTACACTTCGAGCACATCGAACCAAGTTTGACACTAGGGCCAGAAAGTGTATATATCTGGGACATAGAGATGGGACCAAAGGATACTTGCTATATGACTTGTTTTCTAATGAAATCCTGGTTTCTAGAAATGTTGTATTCTATGAGAGACATTTCCCTTTTGTTGATAGTCAGAAAGATGCTTTTTCAAACTCTGAATCACCTAGAGTGCTACCTACTTTTATCCCTCCTATCTATGACACCAGTTTGTCCAACACTCAACCTAACCCATCTGTCACCTCACTTCCTGTTTCTAACCAGCCCGTGTCACATGTTGGAAACCAACCAGTTTCATTAGAAGCCAACCAACAATCCAGTCATAATCCTACTTTACTTGAAAATCCCATTCTTTCATCCCCTACAAACACTGATTGTGAACCTACAGACACCAGAATTATCCAAGAGTCCATACCAGAATTGTCTACTGGACTTCGAAGGTCAAGTAGAATAAGGATGCCACCTTCTCATTTAAATGACTTCCACTGCAATTTGTCCACAGTCACAGCTGAACATCATTTCTCTCCAGGTACACATATGACCAATACTTTATCCTCTCTCCTTACATATGACAAATGCTCTTCTGCTTATACTGCTTTCTGTCACAACTAGAGTTCTTTTGTTGAGCCATGTACATACTCTCAAGCTGCTAAGTCCAGAGAATGGCTTTTGGCCATGAATGAGGAGCTTGATGCTCTCAAACGCAATCACACTTGGTCTATTGTTGATCTCCCCAAAGGAAAGCATCCCATTGGTTCTAAATGGGTGTATAAAATCAAACACAATCCTGATGGTACAATAGCTAGACATAATGCTCGGTTGGTAGCTAAAGGCTACAACCAAATGGAGGGAGTAGATTATTTTGAGACTTTTTCTCCAGTAGCTAAGCTTACCTCTGTCAGATTGTTGCTTTCGGTTGCTGTTGCAAGGGGCTGGTTTCTTGAACAAATTGACATTAACAATGCCTTCCTTCATGGGGATTTATCTGAAGAAGTCTACATGACTATTCCTCAGGGAGTTGAATCTTCTCACACAAATCAAGTTTGTAAATTGCATAAGTCCATTTATGGACTGAAACAATCTAGCCGTCAATGGAATGCACGGTTGAATATGGAACTCTACAAGCTGGGTTTTGTCCAGTCGAAGGCTGATTATTCTCTTTTCACTAAGAAAGATGGTGATAAGTTTACCTTCCTTTTAGTTTATGTGGATGATATGATCCTTGCTGGGAATTGCTTGGTTCAAATCAAAGCTGTCAAGCAGCATTTGGATGACTTGTTCTGTATCAAAGATCTTGGTCCCTTACATTTTTTTCTTGGTATGGAAATAGCTCGCTCCAAGACTGGTTTAATCTTAAACCATCGAAAGTATGTTCTGGAACTTTTAGCTAAGAGTGGACTCCTCAATGCTAAACCTGCATCTTCCCCTATGGAGCCTTCATTAAGGTTGAAACAGGATCAAGGAGAATTATTTGATGATCCTGCCACTTACAGAAGAATGGTTGGTCGCTTGATGTACTTGACTAACACTAGACCAGATATTTGTTTTGCAGTGCAACAATTGAGCCAATTTGTGGCCAAACCAATGAAGGAACTATATAGCTGCTCTCAGGGTTCTCAGATACCTCAAAGGATCTCCAGCAAAAAGGTTGTTCTTCAGCTCCCAATGCCCTTTGGTGTTGTCTGGCTTTGCTGATGCAGATTGGGCTACATGCCCTGACACCAGAAAATCCACAACTGGTTTTTGTATCTTCTTTGGCACTTCTATCATTTCATGGAAGTCAAAGAAACAAAGCACGGTCTCACGATCTTCTGCAGAGGCAGAATATCATGCTCTAGCTGCTACTACTTGTGAGATCCAATGGCTTACTTATTTACTCCATGACCTTCATGTTCCTGTCCTTAAGCCAGCCAGCCTTTATTGTGACAATCAGGCTGCCATTTACCTTGCCCATAATCCATCTTTTCATGAACGAAGTAAACACATTGAACTAGACTGTCATGTCACCAGGGACAAGCTTACTTCGGGTTTGATTCAACTGTTCTCAGTTTCTACTCTTCAGCAGCTTGCTGATGTCTTCACAAAGGCCCTGACTCCAGCTTCCTTTCATGATTTTCTGTTCAAGTTGGGGTTGTATAATCTCCACCCACCAACTTGAGGGGGGGGGGGGGGGGTATTACACCTATTTAATTACATAAGAACTTTTCTTTGTAACCAATTTGTTATCTGTTAAGCTTAGCTGTCATTGTTAATAACCAGATTAGTTACATGTCACTTTCATTAGTTAGAATAGATTACGTGTCCTTTCTCTTTTCCTTCTTTTCCATTGTAATATATATACACTGATGTACAGAGTTTCATGTGTTGTTGAATAATATAGTTTCTTTTAGTTTAATGAAATTCTCTCGATTCTTCCAATCTGTTATTTTATGTATCTAATTGTATTTTATGTATTTACATAGGAATTTATACAACTTATACTTATATCATCATGATAAATAAAATTAAGATATATTAAATACATTTATGATTATAATATATCAATTTAATATATTAATTCTAATTTTATTTAAAATTAATATATTAAATTAATATATTTAAAATAAAATTAAATCTAATCATGCCAATTATTAAAAAACAACTTTAAAATGTTTTTTTATTTTTAAAATAAAATAAAAAACATAAATGAAATGATAATTAAAATTCATAAAATCTATATTTAATATATTTTAATTTTATTTGTCCTGATGATATAAGCATAAGTTGTGTCAAAATTTTTATATAAATACATAAAATACAAAATTTAAAAGTACATAATACGATAAAGTTTTGTTTTTAAATTTATAGGGTGGGTACATCTTCTCACTACAACAAATTCGGGAATCTGAGGCGGTTTTTAATGGGTTTGGCGGCTGTTTAAACCGCAGCTGAAAATTTTAATGGCATTTTCAAAACCGACTTCGATATTGGCGACGTTAAATCATTTGATGAAATTTGACGTCAATTTTGTTAACCGACGGAACAACAGACTCTGGATAGGATTATAAAATTTTACAATATCGTGGCATTTTTGAACTGCCGTTGATCTTTCTGAAAAATTAAAAAAAAAATATTTAAAATTTACTGTTTCTTTTAAAAATCCACGTAGATTCAGAAGCATAAAGAAAAATATTCATTCCAAATATTTGAATACATATCAATAACTCACATTTAGATAAAATTAAGTTACATAATTATGTTACAAAAATAAGATACAGCCTATTTTTTTTTTTAAAAAAAAAAAGATACAACCCCTTCTCTTGCAAATATTTTTTTGGTGCCATGATAATCTATCTCACTAGATTGTCTCATTAGGAAGAACTTTCAACAGAGGTATCAGATTGTGCTCCCCATTCAGTCCAAAATCCATCATAAACTGCAACATTAGACTTTCTCTAACAGGGGTAACAATGTCTGTGAACCATCTAACAACTGCATGTAAAAGCATTTGGTATTGATAAAATAGTTATGACAAATAAATCTGAACCAATATTAAACAGTAAACACTTACACATATCAAAACAAGCAGAAAAGATTAAAAGATGATATCTCCATGGAGAAAGAAATATCAAAAGATAAAAAAAAAAACAAAATGAAAAGATGCAGCCAGCACAAAAACAATCACCAAAGCTATCTTTTTTTAAACCCCATCCTCCAACAACCAGCTAAAGATGCAATAATAATCTTTAAGCCTATACTAATACACCGATCAGAGCATAAAAAATGGCCTTACTTTATCCCAACTTAGAAATACTTCATAACAAAGTATCAGGAAAATGCCATTAACAAATTCCAATATTTTTGTTGTTTCTCGCTTTGACAAAGAGTACCAGTGGTCAACTCAAGACACATGAACACACACATTTATATGCTAGTGACTTATCATTTCATGGCAACAATAACCACAGCCGTAGCTTACAAATTCGTTCATTACCCAATCAAAGCAAACAACAGCTTGAAAATACTCATAAAAGCAGCATAACGCAAATGATTCTAATAAAACCATGCAAAGTAGATGAATCTCTATAACACAAATTTTATCTATGCTTTCAACTGCCCAGAACCATTCATACATACCAATTAATCTTGGGCATGAGGAATTTCCAAAATATGCAAAGAGTTCCTGCGTTTGAAAAGTACACAGCATAGGCTCATAATGGAAATGAGAAATATCTGGAGTAGTGGAGCAGTTACAAACCAAGAGCAACATAAACTCATCCACTATATGAGGGACAGAGTTTCTTCAAACCAATTCTGAGTCAAAGGGACTAAATGAAGGAACGAATGAATGACAAAATTTAATTAAACAGATCCAATACAACAGTTACCGAAACGAACACAACAACGAATGCTTTCAACCAGAAGAAGCATTTGAAATACTAAAGTTCAACATCAAAAAATTCTATCAACAAAATTCTAAGTAAAATAATAATAATAATAATAATAATAATAATTAAGAAAAAGAAAGAGTTATGTTAAGGAGTTCATTGGAATAATCCCCCAAAGAACAGGAACCAAAGAATTTCATAGTACTCAAAACAGAACCAGATATAAAATACTAAAACCAAAATTATCAAAATCATAAAGTAAAATATAAATATATATATATATATATATATTAAAATATTGAGAGAGCAGAGTATAAGTAAATTTACCTCACCCACATCCTCTTAGCACCTCCGCTTAAGAATCCCACGTGGATTCTACCATTCAAGGCACCAACAGCATCAGAGAAAATAAAAATTGAGAGCCTTTAGGACTCGCACTATGTGAAGTCAAGAAAGGTAACTAGAACTAAAACCAATAATAATAATAAAATGCGTCGAGAGAGAAAACAAAAAGACTTTATGCAGCTCAGGGATATGTTAATTGCTAAATATAGGGTTGGTTTTTAAAACGGCCATCAAGACATCGCCTCCGTATCCAGGTTTTCTTGTAGTGGATCTTCTTACATATACGGAAGGGTTACTTTTATGAAATAAATATTTTAATAATTTTAAATTTCTTAACTAATTTTTTCTAATATTAATTATACATAGATATAGTTAAACATCAGTGCATTGGGCCTTTATAACTATAATATATATTATGCAGCTTTTTTGATGCTTTTTTTTTTAATTTATTCCCTTGTCAATCTTTCCTTAATTTCATTATAATCTAACTACCAAGTTTCCAATCCTTTTATTTTTAACACAGCTTTAAGATACTGACTCATTAATTAGCCATCAGCCAAGCTATATTATGCTACTACCTTCAGACATATCTAGATTCTTTATACTAGTTTTTATAACATCTAAATAAAGTCGTACCTCATGCTATGATTCACACACACATGCTGTACTCTATGTCTATCTCTTTTTGCTTTTACATCTTGCTCAAAGAATCTCTCATCTTTTTCATCTTCAACAGGAATAGGGCCAATCTGATATTCCAAACATCATCAATTCAAATGATCTAACATGTTCCTCAACCTTCCATGTCAAAAGTAAGATGGTTAATCAAGTTTTACTTTTTTTCCTTTTCATTATTCTATCCAACAGTGTAACAGTCAAAGTTGACAAATATATTTAAAGATGACCCGAGGAAAGGATAACATACAATTGAATGTATTTGTTGGGGAAAAGGAATGTATTTGCTGCCGGCTACATGACCACCTCTGATTCCCTTTTGGAGCTCGGGTGCAGCTCCATCAAACCTGCCAAATGAAAAAATCTCCATAAATCCAACAATCACACATCAAAAACAAAATGAAAAGATGCAGCCAGCACAGAAACAATCACCAAAGCTATCTTTTTTTGGCATTATTCACAGTGAACTAGTGACCGATTTCAGGAGGCAGATCTTTAAATGGCCGCAAAGAAACTGCCATTGTACTCCATTTTTACTGTAGTGATAAACACAGTTTAATGTTTTCCAATCAGAAAGATAACAACCATAGAGCTTACGCACCCATGGAAGGTAGGCAGCAGTGAAAGTAAAGAGGCCAAGGAAGCTCATATGAGTAAAGGGATTTTGTTTGCTCCATACGTAAACCTGAAAAAGATCAATTAAGCTTTAACATGTGACAGATTTTAACATGTGGACTCAATTACCAAAAATATATAAAAATGTGACTCACCATCATATATCATCCCCCCAAGAAGAACAATTCCAGTCAAGTGGCACCAAATAAGAGTATGTAAAATAAATCAGCAGTTCTCCCCCGAAACGATTTCTCCTCTAGAAGCTTGCAGTGCCGAGCAAGAAAAAACATATGAAACAAGAAATCCAAGTCTGCCAAATCAATAAGAAAATACCATGTCAAAGTCAGATGTATGATTCACAATTTACAAAGTCTCATCGATTCCTGTTCGCTAATCACATGTCAAACAAAAGACCAGTTCATACATATAAAGCAAATACAATGAGCATTCTCTTCTTCGTTCAGCACCTTCCATGATCGTCAAATATTTTCTCTAACTTTATGTATTGTAGAGCAACTAAGGTAGTCTCTAGCATGTCAAGCCCTGCCTGGTTATTTTTGTGTCAAAATAATTTCATAGCACACGATGGAGAAAGAGGTCAGAGAAGGATTCTTGAGTCAAAATCAAATAAATTCATGGAAAAAGGAAAGAAGAAAGAAACTGTCAGCTTTATTCAAAGTTGATTGAGAAAATAAGGACATATATAAGGACAGTTGCCTGCACATTTCACCCCTCACATTTCTTATATCACTATCAAAGCTCAAGGTGTGGTGGGACAACAATCAATTTTGAACTTAAAAAGCATACAATTTGATGGAAACTGCTACAGACAATGATATCTTGCTATTAACAGCGGGCCTCAATAGTAATAGAGATTCAGAGAGAGAGAGAGATAGAGAGAAGGGCATAGAGGCATTGAATGACCTTGCATGAGAACAAGAGAATGGGAACAACTAAGTTGCAAAGGTAGTGAAGTTTTTCCTTTTCTCCACATATGTTACTCTATCTACCGACCCTCGCTCACAATGCAACAAATCTTGTTTTAACGAGTTGTCACAAAAATACACTAAAATTAAATAAAAATTATATGCACGGAAAAACCAATAATTGAACGGACGAATCTGTATCAGTCCAAACTGAGAATCTTATAGTTGAACATCTTGATTCCCATATATGAAACTAGAAAATATTTTGCAGTTTAAATCATCTAACTCGTCAACACTAGTATTTCGTCAAATAAACTACTCTTGTACTTCTCCATTCAATTAGACTCAACCATTATCTTCATTATCCAAACATTACGCCAAACTAATATACACACATTTTGAACCTAAGCCTACTTAGCTTGTGATCTTTAACAGCATAATGTCGTTCCACAGTATTGTTTTATTTAAAAAATCACAACCAAAAATCTCAAACAGAACAACAAAATTGAGAACAAACAGTAGAAGCAATACGTACTTCTTGAAGCATAGCCCCATTCGGCCCCACTCGGCATATAAAAAACACGAATAAGCGTGCCCCTGGTGTAGGTGGTGGCAAGGAACTTCCCATCAAGCGTGATAGCTATCATTGAACCATGAGCGAGCCAAAAATAAATTATTCTTCTTCTGCACATTCTGTACTATAGATTTCAAAAATATAAGCAGAGCCCAAAATAATTCCAACCCAATTACAAGGTTCAAAACCTGTACCTAACCCTTGTGCAAGCCGGGGCACGCCAGCACAATCGAATCGGCCAGTTGCGAAACCGTGCAGAGCCCCTTAGGGTTCGAAATCGTTGTTTGCACTAGCTTGAAGTCCGCCATCGACGAGTGCCATTATATTGCTGTGGAAGAGCATCTCGACGTGGTTGATTCCGCTGCTGGAAAAGTCGCAGCGGAAGAGCTCCAGTGAAGACGCAAACATTTCTCTTGAAGGGGTCGCAGTTGTAGACGCAAAAGCCGGTATTGATTGAATGAGATTCGGAGGAGTGACATGGGAGATTCCAGTGAAGGAGTTTGAGTTTGAGATTGGGAAAACATTGTTGAATGGAAATTAAAGGTTTGGGATACTTAGCTTTAAGAGAGAGAGAGAGAGAAAAGATCTGTTGCGAAAAAGGTGAAAAAAGAAATAAAGAATATGCATCTGTTGCGAAAAAGAAAAAGATGTGCCAATGGATACTTAGCTTTAAAAGAGAGAGAAAAGACTGGGGGCGCTGTTAATTGTTATATTTAGGGTCAGTTCCTAAAACAGCCATAAAGACACCGCCTTTGTGTCCTGGTTTTCTTGTAGTGTCTGTTGATTTAACATAGATGATATTATATAATATTTTAGAAACTTAATGATACACAATGTGCAGGTCGTGAACAGTGTGAATATAATTAGATACGTCAAATACTTTGACGGGATTCATTTTATTTTATTTGCCTTCAGAATTTGACGTCCCTTAGCAATACATGACGGGACTGATTTCGTCTTTTCTTTCGATGTGTTTGACTATGTCAGTCTGACAAAACTTATCAAATATACTTTTAGTTGAAAAATCTTTCACAAAGTTTTTTAGCATGGTGCTTTTGCCCACCTTTCCTCTCGAGCTTGAGATATTGCCCTTTTGTTTCCACCTATGTTGCTTTGGACTGTACACTAAAATCGTAGAATTGTCAAAATAGGTAATCCTGTCCTAATAGGCTCTAGCATATGTAGATTAAGATAAAAAAGTTTGCAAGCTCAAATGACCCACAATATTAAAATTCCGCATAAGCCAAATATAATATTATTAACCTAAAACATTATTTATGTGCTTTGAAGTCTAATTATATTATAATAAATATATATTTTAACAATGCATAAGATTTTTGTTTAAATTTTAATTATTGCTTTGAACTATTTCAATTGAAAGATATTTCCTTATTTATTTATAACCATATACTTATATTTTATTCATTATTATATGATATTCGCAATAAAATATAATTAACTATAAAATTAATATATATATATATATATATTAAATACTATTTAATACTAAAAAACTGCACTTATATTAAAATTTAAATAATATTAAAGAGATAAACTTGTATTAAAATATGAATTTGCATTGTCTGAGTCATCCAAATTTGAATCCAACAGTCTAGAATGTTAAAAAAAATATATTATATATCTAGTAATTAATAATTAATATTATGCGAAAGAATAAGTTCATAGGAATCAATTCTCTCATATCTATTTTATCGTCATGTGCATATCTCACCAAAGAATTGACCCATTTATCTTAAGGATGTAACTGAAAGTCTTCAGCTCTGGCGGAAGATGTTAAACGCTTATAATGGCTTTGCCCCTCCAATGTTTGTCTGCCTTTTAAGATGATTAAGATTGAGTTATAAGAAAGTATTGTTCTAAGGTGTAAGGTGTAAGATGAGTTCAGATTTAATGTTACTCTAAGAATTAACTTAAGGATTATGGTATAGAGAATCAATCCTTTTGTAAGAGATATGTATATGAGTTAATGATGTATATTATGTGTTAGGAACTCGGTTTCCTCAAATCGGCTCAGGGGCCTTTTGCGGAAGTCAGTCAGCAAGATCCTGATCTCGGATCTCGGCAATACCTCAGCCTGAACTTCACCAGGTTGGGCAGCGCAGCGGAAAAATCAAAAACGAAAAATCACAAAATAGGAGAGAGAGAAGAAGAACACAATAAGATTTAACGTGGGAAAACCTTTTTCAATGAAGAAGTAAAAATCCATGGGACCTAGTCTAGATCAAAAAATCCACTATGAAAATAATGGTTACAAAGAATCAAATATACCAATGTGGTGGTTAACTCAACCTCTCCAACAATGGTGATAATCAAACTACCCTAGAGATGTTTGACTCAAACTCTCTCTAGAGATCTCTCAAATGCAAAGCATAAAGCTTTGCTCAAACAATCAAATAATTATCTCTCAAATTTTCTCTCTTATTCACTTAACCTAGCCTCCACCCACAACTAATGAATATTTAGAGGAGGTGAGATCTAGGGTTAGGGTTTTTAGGAAACTCCTCAATGGGCTTGGGCTTAGCATTGAAGGAGGAAGCGCAACAAATCTCCCCCTCCGACTTCAATGCGTCGACTTCAGCATCAACCCGGCTCCTTCACAGCAGTCTTCAAATTTTCTTACTGGAACCGGCTTTGTCATCATGTCGGACCAATTTTGGTCAGTGTGCGCCTTGACGAGTTCGAGCTCTCCACCTTCCACCACATCCCTGATCCAGTGATACCTCACATCAATATGCTTGGTGCGGGATTGATAGGTCGAATTCTTCGCAAGATGGATTGCACTTTGATTGTCACAACCCAGCTCGTACTTGTCTTGATCATGGCCGAGTTCCATGAGGAACTTCTTCATTCACAACATCTCTTTGCTTGCCTCAGTAGCGGCAATGTACTCAGCCTCAGTTGTCGATAGTGCAACACATTTCCGAAGTCTTGATTTCCAAGGGACAGCTCCTCCGGCAAATCTCATCATGTATCCCGTCGTCAATTTCCTCGAGTCGGAATCTCCCTCTAAATCAGAATCCGAGTAGCCTTGCAACTCGGCTTTGCCTTCTCCAAATCTGAGACTTAAGTCGGTCGTACCTCGGAGGTACTTGAAGATCCACTTCACTGCTTCCCAGTGCTCTTTGCCAGGGTTTGACAAATACTGGCTTACCATTCCAACAACATATGCCAAGTCGGGTCTAGTGAAAACCATTGCATACATCAAGCTTTCGACAGCGGATTGGTACGGGACCTTCATCATCTCATCTTTGTCTTCATCAGATCTCGGACATTGCTTCTGGTTCAACTTTATGTGTCTGGCAAGGGGGGTGCTCACAATTTTGGCTTTGTCCATGCTGAATCTCTTCAGAATCTTCTCAATATATTTCTCTTGACTCAGCCACAGTAGCTTCTTCTGTCTATCTCGGATGATCTTGATTTCGAGAATCTGCTTTGCAGGGCCGAGGTCCCTCATTGCGAAGGATGAGCTCAACGCTTTTTTCAGGGCGGCTATCCTCGATTTGTCTTTCCCTACAATAAGCATGTCGTCAACATATAACAACAAAATCAGGAAATCTCCTGCCTCACACCTCTTCACAAATACGCAGTGGTCGGCTTCTGTCTTCTCAAACTTGTGATCTGTCATGAATGATTCAAACTTCTTGTTCCACTGCCGAGGTGCTTGCTTCAAGCCATAGAGACTCTTCTTCAACCGACATACCAAGTCTTCTTGGTCTGGAGCTTGAAATCCTTCAGGTTGCTCCATATATATCTCTTCTTCTAAGTCACCGTGAAGAAATGTTGTTTTAACGTCCATTTGTTCTACCTCGAGGTCCATCGAAGCCGCCATGGCTAACACGGTTCGGACCGAGGTCATTTTCACCACAGGAGAAAAAATCTCCTCAAAATCTACTCCTTTCTTCTAATTGCAGCCTTTCACTACAATCCAGGCTTTGTATCTCGGCTTCTGCCCGTTCTCTTCATTCTTGATCTTGTAGACCCATTTATTCTACAGAGCTCGTCTTCCTTCTGGCAACTCGGTCAGCTCATAAGTCTGATTCTTGTGTAGAGACTTCATCTCGTCTTGCATTGCCTTTTTCCATTCTTCTAACTCTGAGCTCGCCACAGTCTCATAATAACTCTGAGGCTCACCGTCTTCAGCAACAACGGTGTATTCATCAGATGGGTATCTCGTAGAGAGTTTTCTTTCTCGAGTTGGATATCTCGGCTGTTCTTCAGCTTGAGAACCTGGTTCATCATTCTCATCCCGAATCTCATCATCAACTCGGACCTCAGTGTCTTGGTCATCTTTAGCTTGTTGCTGATCATCGTTTTCTTCATTTTCATGATTTTCTCCCCTGCTTCAGCTCGAACAGGAGGATTGGGTTCTTCACGTCTGACAGTAAGTCGGACTTTGGGCTTCGAGATGTCATGAATGTTCTCATCTTCATGAAAGATCACATCTCGGCTTCTCACTATCTTTTTATTGATTGGATCCCAAAGTCGGAACCCGAACTCACATCTCGGCGAACCAAGATAGATGCATTCTTTTTTCTTCGCATCGACTTTTGCCCTTTCATCTTTAGGGATATGCACGAAAGCTCGACATCTAAACACCTTCAATTGATTGTAGGCCGCTTTCCGACCTGTCCAGACTTCTTCTGGAATTTCTCGTTCAAGTGGCCGTGATGGTGAGAGATTGATCAAGTCAACAACAGTTTTGACGGCTTCTCCCCAGAATGATTTCGGTAACCCGGCATTGGATAACATGCTTCGTACCTTCTCTTCAATAGTTCTGTTCATCCTCTCAGCCATTCCATTCAACTGTGGAGTCTTGGGGGGCGTCTTCTCAAGTCGAATCCTGGCCGCTCTGCAGTATGCATCAAATGGGCCGCAATACTCACCACCATTGTCAGATCAGACCACTTTCAATTTCTTGCCAGTCTCCCTTTCAACCATTGCATGGAATTCTTTAAAGGATTGGAGTACCTGTCTTTAGACTTCAACAAATATACCCACACTTTGCGGGAGTGGTCATCAATAAATGAAACAAAGTACTGAGCTCCTCCAAGGGATCTT